GAATCCCAGGGGCAGAGGAGCCTGGTGGGCTGCTGTCTATGGGGTCACACAGAGTTGGACACAACTGAAGCCACTTATCAGCAGCAACAGAGCGACTAAACCTACCTATGTTAGTAGTATTAGTATTTATCACACTTTACCATTTAGTCATGCTTTTTATGTGTTGAATATCTGAGAGCTTGAAAGCAGTTCCGATTGTGAAAAGTATGGACGTATTAAAAATAAGAATGTCACGTTCTGTTCTTCCTGAATAACAGTGTATGGACAATTACTGAGACTCCAGTAATTGGATATCTAAATCCAGATACAGACATTTTAGATTAGGGATTTTATTACAATGTCATTTCAAGTTACCTTTTAATTATTTACTAGTAAATTAAGTTCATTCAGATGAAAAAACTTACAGGTTAATATTTAAGTTAATGTTAAAGGTTCTTAATAATTTGAAAATTAGAAGTCATGTATATATAGCCATAAATGAGCTATTTTAATTATTTTTACATTTTAAATATTGACCATAATTACATGAACTAATATCCTTGAAGAATAATGAGAAAAAGACAGTAGCAAAAATAAAGTTTTATTGATTTTTTAAAAATATGTTTTAGGGGGGTGTGTGTGTATATATGATGCATTTAGGAATGAAAGGAGATGGTCCCTGTTCTCATATAGTTTATGGTGAAGTCAAGAAGAGAAACATTAAACCCTTAACATTGTTGAATGTACAGTCATGAACTGGTACATCAATTAAGAACAAGTCACCAAGAGTGTTCAATCAAGATGATAGACTGAATAAAGTGGAAGAAAACAAATAAAGTTACATTAAAGGGAAGATATGAAGCAAATAGAGTTGTCTGGGCAAGGGGAAGTGGAGAAATGCAGAGAGCACATCACATGGGAAAAGCCTGACAGGAGACAGTGCTGGTAAAGAACCTGAAAGAAAGCCAGTGTGTCTAAAGGTGGAAAGTGGGGGCTGGAGAGTGTAAGACTAGGAATGTGCCAGAGAAGGTAGAGAAGTAGTAATGGGCTCGCATGTAATTCAGGGCTCGTAGACCACGTGAGGGATTTGGATCTCCACAGGGCACGACGAGCCTCTGAAGTGCTTTAGGTAGAGGTGACGACCAGATCTGTGTTTTGGAAAGCCGGTTCTAATTGCAGTATGGAGAATAGATTTGAGTGAGGTGAAAAGGGTCCATAGGGTTGCAAAGAGTCGTGCACGACTGAAGCGACTGAGCAGGCAGGCGGGTAGAAGGCACAAGTGGATGTGGGAAAGATGGGTGATTTGAACTTGGATTGTTGTTATGGAGATAGAGACAGGCAGATGGGTTTGAGGCTAGGAAAGAAACGTTCGGTTGGATGTGGTGTGATATTTGGAATGAGGTAGGAGAGGGAAATGGGCAGTGTGAAAAATGTGACTTCTTGATTTTAGTTTGGAGAAATGGTAATAATGTTGCCAGTCACCAAGGTGGTGGGGGGGCGTCTTGGCATGAGCATCATGAATGTAGTTTTGGACGTATTGAGTTGAGGTTTTGGGACTCCAAGGAGAGGACTCTTTTAAGAAAGTTCAGTGAGCAAGCCTAACCTAGGCTGTAGATGCAAAATTGGGAAGCTTTGGCATAAAGATTGTCCAGAGAGTATATATAGAGAGAGTACCAGAGCATCTGGAACTGAGCTGTGGGATATCAGACCTTAAGGAACCTCTCCATTTAATGGCTGACGAAGTCAGTTTTTTTCCCTGGCGTATTTTCATGTATTCATTTATCTTAAACACTTATCTGTAAGTAGTTTGTTAGGTACTGGGCAGACAAGTGAACAAGATCTAATCCCATCTGTTCTTAAGTAGGACATGGACCAAGTAAACTGGCAGTTTTACTCTAGTGTAGAGTCTTATGAAACTCTGAACAGGGCAAGATATAGTTTTTTGGGGGGAAGAGGATCATAGCTATCATTAGATTCCTACATCTTAAGAACAATTAATATGGTGTGATAAGTACTACAGAGTTCTGAGGAGTGGGGTAAAGGACTGTTTGGGAAGGAGTTTAATTAGTGCACTGTGGAAACACACAGAATGTCCACAAAAGAAGGGGCAGAGGCAGGTCATGGAAGGCAGTGAAGCACAGACTGACATGGAGAATGCAGGTGTGGAGGTGCATGGGTGAAGATTTCTATCAGAGGGGTCAGCCTGCATAAGATCTCGAAGCCAGAAAGCATGAGGAGTTGAAGAATTGAAAGTATCTCTTCTAACTTAAAAATGAAACTTGGCTTCGAAAAATTGAAATATAGTAAATAATCAAGGAGCGATGTCATTGGAAAAAGTGGACTCATAATATTTTCTTAAAAAGATATAGTTCTGCAGTCAGGATTTTCAAGTTTACTACTTGAAATGTATTTTGTAAGAAGACCCTAAAATAGGATCATAACAAAACTAAAGTTAACAAGTAATGAACTTCCTTGTCAAACTAAAAATTGTAAAAAGAATTTTGATCAATTTTAAAAAGTCACATTAGTATAATTATCAGGTACAAGTTTTAAGCTAGAAGGGACCCTATAAATATTGTAGACATTTACTTTCAATTTTTAAGTAAATTATTTTAGGGAGGATTAGAGTATAAGTACCATTTAAAATTTTTGTATTTTGGTGTACTTTCTTCTGAATGCTTTTTCTGTTTAATGCTTTTTCATACTAGTGCTTGAAAAAGTATGTTTTGAGTCAAGATGGTATTAGGGGGAAAAGGATTCTGTAACTAGAGTTTGTGTAATTGTGCATTAAACAAAATTAAATAGATTTATCAGGATTTTTCAGAGGCTTTAACATCATTGTGCTTTTGTGAATCTCGAAAGCTCTGAGGTAGTATGTATTATTTGATTAAGAACTTCTTTTCCAGAAGTATTCGTCCTACCAGTAATGATTGACCAGACTCTGTATTGTTTTAAATTGTCTAGTCAAAGTGAGACAATATGACTCCATATTGTTTTCTATGACAGTATATTAAGATAAAAAGTAAGATAGGTTCCCCTTAATTGGCTTCAACCTAGAGAATGAATGTCAGTTAATTAAAAAACAAATAACATTTACATTCTTTTGCAGTTAGAGTATAACAGATACTGCAAGAGAGATTGAGATCACTTAATCCCTCACTACCTCAAAATCTATAAGAATTCATACTAAAGTTGCCATTAATAAGTGGACTTTTAAAAAAATGTGGTCTTGTCTTTTTAGGCTCTTTGACAATTTCTCAGACTTTCCTTTTTACTCCCCCCCCCCTTTTTTTTTAACTGAGGTGAAATTGACATATAGCATTATTTTAGCTTCAGGTGTACAACATGATGATTCAATATTTGTATATATTGTGAAAGATCACAATAAGTCTAGTTAACATCTGTCACTGTACATACTTAAAGCATTTTTTTTCTTGTCATGAGAACGTTAAAGCTTTCAGTTGTACAGTACAGTATTATTAACTATAGTCACCATGCTCTTCTCCATACCCTTATGGCTTATATATTTTATAACTGGAAATCTTGTACCTTTTGACTCTTCCTGCTTGGGTATGAAATAGGTAAAGAGTCAAAGGGTGCAAGCTTCCAGTTACTATTTTTTTTTTTCTTTAATCTAAATGAACTTGAGTGGAAGTTCTCAAACTACCTCAGCACCTCTTTACATTAATGAAAATTATTGCAGTTCCTTGGTGTGTATTATGATCTATTCATATTTACACTTAAAATTAAAACAAATTTTAAAATATTAAATATAATAAACTCATTTCACATTAATATAAGTAAAAATTTTTTTAACATGATTATTTCCCAAAACAAATTTATGAGACGAATGGTATTCTTTTATCATTTTGGGGATGTTTAATCTCTGGCTTAATAGAAAGCAGATTTCTTATATCCCCTTCGACATTCAGCCTGTTGGAACATTACTGGAAAACTTACAATAAACTCATGAGAAAATGAGAGTGAAAAAGCAAATAACATCTTCATATTATTCATTTTTAAACAAAATTTTTGGCTGTACTGTGCAGCATGCAGGATCTTAGTTCCCCTGACCAGGGATTGTACCTGTTTCCCCTTCAGTAGAAGCATGAAGATTCACAATTTTTACTTCAGAAATCCCTAGGAGTCCCCAGAACACACTTTGAAAACAGCTAAATTAGAATATTTAGGTACTGCAGTGAGAATTTTTTTGTAACTTGATAATCTGAACATAAAGTGAAAACATCGTGTACTTTTTCCCCTAATTTGATTTTCTTTACATTATTATGCAAATATTGTCTATTTAATAAAAGACTTTTCAGGATGGATAATAAAAATAAAGCATTTTACATTTTGGTTTTAAATGCTAGTCTAAATTAAGCAGTATTTTGAAGTTGTTCTAAAAACAGCCCAAACTTTGTAGTTGGTAGATTTATTTTATAGTCAAACTTGTTTCATTTAATGGTTGGAATTTGGCCTTTCTCTCTGTGAAGTTTTTGGTAAATTATAAATTTCAGCATAGAAATTACATAGATGTCTTTAGGTTTTGTAATGAGAACATAAGCTGTCAAGTTTCTTTAATCCTGAACTATTCTGGAGATTTTTTAAAATATCATTGGAGAGAAAAAGTGTTTATAGTTAGATGATTTTTTGTTTATTTTGAAAATTAAAATAGTAGACTGAAACATACCATTTTAGGTTATAGTATATGTTTTTCATTGTTCAGTATTTGCATTGACTAGCATCTGTTAGTTTATAACTTGCTGTGTTTAGGTTCCATCACTTCTTCAGCACTTTTCCTCTTCAGTGGATTGAGTCATGGTTGGGTAGTTGTTTCATACTCTGAATCAAGAGGTTTCACAGAATGAATGTGAATTTTTCACCCCAAATAAAATGAAATGTTGACTAGCAAGAACAAATTACTATGTTTTTTTAAAGTACATTTTATTTACTGTAAATAATTGTATCCGGTATCCCCACTTTGTTTAGCTAACATTTTATATGTGTCTTTCACATAATAGGTGAAGTATTACAGACATTTAGCACCTGATCACTTGCTGCAGATCTGTCATCGACTGGGACCTCTTCTTGAGCAAGAGATTCCACAGAGTGTTCCTGGAGTACAAACTTTGTTAGGAGCTGGAAGACAGTCCTTGCTACGCACAAACAAAAGTATGAAAATTTCTAACAACATTTAGATGGTCTTTTTCTCACTTTTTGTCTTTGTGTCCTATCTTTATATCCAATAAAAAATGTATGTGTTTAATAGGCTGCAAGCATGTTGTGTGGAAAGGATCTGCTCTGGCTGCATTGCATTGTGGAAGACCACCAGAGTCACCAATTAACTATGGTAGCCCACCCAGCATTGGTGAGTTGTTTGAGTTCATTACCAAGTTGATAGCCTCTTAGTGAGGAGCTTTTGAAAATAAAAATGTTTTTTACTTGCTGTGAAGTCAGAGAATTTTCATTTTTTGTGTATTAGCTTTCAAAGAGGAAAAAGCCCTCGGATTTTTTTCTTATGTTGATAATCTGTAGTGAAAAAGTCATAATAATGTGTAATTATGGATTGTAAATATTGTACCTGTCTAATTAGCTCATTGGTATTTTTACAGAATATTGTTTATTAAAGACATATGTCATTCAGTTGATTCAGTAGGCAACTGTATCATACAGATTAGTTGTAATAGTTTGGTTACTTTTATGAATAATTGTATATTTTTTTGCCTTTAAAATTTCAAAGAAGGAAAACTGATGCAGATAGTTCTTCTTAAAATGGCCTCTAAATTCATCCTTTTTAACTCCGCTACTACAAGGCGCTTGTCTTTCCTGAATTACTATACCCTCTTTCACACTAGTCTTGCTTCTGGTGTCTTCTCCCTCTTTCCCTTTCAGGTTATGCTATATGTAACCCTGTAATATAACTCTTATTTAATTCTACCACTGCTTTATCTCTCTTCTGCTCAAGGTAGTATGAGAGGTCGCTTATGCTATTTTAATGGTGTTGCAGTTCCTCTACCACCAAGTCTTACTTCTGACTTTCAGAGACCTTTGTATTTTAATCATAGCCTCTTCTGTCCCTACCCTCCTGCTTAGCCAGAAGTGTTCTTCTCCCTCTTTGTTCTACCTGTCCAGATTATACTTATTTCTCTTCCTTTTCTGGGTAATTACAGTCAGTATTACTGTATTATAAGTTGTCATTATTACGGTTTTGTATAACTTGTTTAACGTTTATATAGAATATGCTTTTCTGTTGTTTTACTTATAGAAGTACTTTTTAAGGTTTTGTGTTTTATCTGGGGCATTTTGTACTTCATAGACAATTTTGGTGTATTTGGGTATAAATCTAACTATTGGTACTGAAAAGATGATCTCTTACTTTGGTTGCTTTTAAGATTTTTCTCATTGGTTTCATGAAGTTTGACTGATAAGCCTTGGTGTCATTTTTTTCTGTTTATCAAGCTTGAGATTGATTAGGCTTCTTGAATCTGGAATGCCTTTTATTGGCATTGGAAGATTGTTAGCCATTATCTTGTAAAATATCACGTCTGCTCTGTTCTCTCTCCTCTCCTGGGACTCCAGTTAAACAGACACTAGATTTTCTCACTCTTGTCTTTTCTCTTTCCCTCTCTTTTATGATTTACATCTTTTTGTCTCTGATGCATTCTAGATAGTTTTCTCTGAGCTGTTTTCCAAAGGTGTCCTATGTTTGTATGGTGGATAATCATGGGTAATCTTTTTTTTTTCCTAAATATGATTGTCCTGGTTAAGTAATGATTCCTATGTTGTCTTAGTATAATGAACAACTATAAAACAACAAAGGATTTGAGACACAAGGGTATATTTTCACCTAGAAAATTATACTGGGAAGTAGACAGTTTTCTTAAAAGAAAGGGAAGGTAAATTTATCAGAAGCATCCCCTCTAGGGAAAAGTTTTTTTTTTTTTTTTTGAAAAAATGCAGATCCATTTAATAAGGGGAATATGGTGTTCTTTCATCGCATTGTCAGGCAACACTGTGGAAGGCAATGAAAGTGCAAAAATGATTGATACCTCTTAACATTTGCTGTGTGAGTAATTACTCTGTTTCAGGCACTACTCTAACCATTTTCCATTTATTTTTATCTTTTAAAACCTTAAATGATCTTTAGGTAGGAGATACTTTTACTTTACAGAGAAGGAAATTGAGGCATGAAAAGGTTTGGTGACTTGACCAGGGTTACATGTTCAGTGAGTCATGAAAAAGTACAGTGACTCCCATTATGCTGTGCCTTATTCTTAATAAACTAATAGTTAACAGTTGGTTAACACTTGGCTACTCAAGAAAGTTGGTATTAGTCACATTTTGGAAAAGGATACCAGATATTTATAAAGTCAGATAAAGTATTTTAGGACAGGTCATTAATCATGAGATCAGTAAATATTGCTGACGTGGATATAGGGGATTTAAATATGGCAAAATATCTTGAGCTTTGTGTCACATCAAGAGAAATGCAGCTGGTATATTCAGGTAATAGAATTAATTACCAAGTGGGTAATTGTACCTTTCTGAAAGAGTTTTATTTCGTTTTTAAGGTTTATGATACATTTTTCCATTCAGATTTTCAGGAAGTTGCTCTTCATATTTGTTTTAAAAAAACACCTGTACTGGAACACGAATTTTACCTGATGTTTTTGTATTTGCATATAGTTTCTGACATCTCTAAAGAGAAGCTGGACTAATCAAAATGACTGCTTATTTATAATCACAGTTTAGTGTCATGGCTTTTCAGTTCACCTTGGTAACAGTCTTGAATGTCTTGTCATTATTATGAAAGTGTTGAGTGGGATGGTAATAGGAAGAAAAATTCATTAGGTTTTTTGGCAGAATAATTTGCCTGCATAGTGATACAATATATCATTTCAGGTTTATCATAGACTATGAGTCAGAAGTTTTTTATTTTTAAATATGAGTGTTAGTATGTTATTCTGTTGATTCGTCTGCCATTTCTGTCTGTCTGCCTCTAAAATTTTCCTTGCTCTTTTCCTTGATCAATGTAGTATTACTGAAGACCCATGTAATAAAAAGGCCTTAGCATCATAGCTTTTCTTAAAATACAAATGGAAATGTTTAGTGTAGATTCAAATATTTAAGGTTCGATACATTTGGGAAATAGACTTTTTTTTAAAAAAAAATTTGAAATAAGAAATTACTTACTGGAAAGTTGCACAAAGAGCTATTATAACCCGTTGTGCAGTGTTTCCTCATGTTACAGTCCTATATTATCTAGAATTCCTTAAAACTATTTCACCAACGTTGGTATGTTATTATTAACTAAACACCAGACCATATTAGTATTTCACCACATTTTCCAACTTAATTACCTTTTTTTTGTTTCAAGATCCAGTACAGAATACAATACTGCACTTAAGGCTTGCATAGTTTTTTAAATTAAACATTTTACTATAACTCAGAAAATCATTTTAAGATTGGGGTGATGGTAAATTGGATTTTCCTTTCTTAGATTTTTTTTCAGTAAGGCCTGTGTATTCTGTTCCAGTCCTTTGAATCTGTTTTCCATTGCCACGGCCACATGTGGGCCTTGTGCTCTTTGACTGGAGCTCTGCACCCTTCATTCACTTACCAGGTGAATGTTAGTGTTGGTCACTCAGTTGTGAGCAACTCTTTGAAACCCTTTGGACTGTGGCCCGCCAGGCTCCTATGTCCATGGAGTTCTCTGGGTCGGAATGCTGGAGTGGGTGATCATTCCCTTCTCCAGGGGATCTTCCTGACTGAGGAATTGAACCCAAGTCTCCCACATTTCAGGCAGATTCTTCACCATCTGAGCCACCAGGAAGCCCGAGTAGGGACGCCGTCGCTGCGTCATGTCCCACACCGGCTTAGAGCTGGAGCGCAGGATAATGAGGAGCACGGCCTCTGCTCTCCCAGGGTTACAGATTAGCCGATCTCCTGCCTCCAGTCTTACTCCTCTACCCTAGAACTTAGCTCGGAACCAGGGTTTCTACCTTCAGCACTGTTCTCATTTTGAGCCACATAATTCCTTTTCATGATTGACTGTCCTGTGCATTGTAGGGTGTTCATCAGCATCCTTGTCTGTAGCAACTCCAGTGGTAACAACGGAAATGTCTCCAGACATTCCCAGATGCCCCTGAGGTAAAATAGCCTCCAGTTGAGAACCATGGCTCTGAACTTTCTAAAATGCAGATGTGATCATGTCATGCCTCCTTTTCCCCAGTGACTTTGAATAGTCTCAGCCCTGTAATGTGGCTGACAACACGGACCTTCTCCCACCTTTTCCTGACTTGTACCTTGTGCTGCAGCTTTGTACAACTATTCGGCAGTTCTTAAAATCAGCTAAAGTCTCTCCATCCCTTTCTCTCTGCAGTATCCCTCATCCTGTGAACATTTATCTATTCGTGCTTTAAAACCTAAATGTAACCAAGCAGAATTAAGTGCTTATACTTACCTCTGCTATAGCTTTTGTCACATAATCATGGCTATTTATTTACCTTTGTTTTTTCTGCTATACTGTTAGGTTCTGGAAGTTGGAAATGATGTTTGTGCTCTGTATAGACCCAACTCCTCAACATTAGTAAATATTGAATAAAGAGGCAGTAGGTAATTGATGTAGTTGGTGCCCTTCAGTAGAACAGGAAAAGTTCAGAAATGGTTTGGGAGTTAAAAACAGTAATGGTTGGAAGAAGAGAGAGACTAGTCTCCCAGGGTAGCTGTGAGGTGAACAAACACCGAGAGCTGGTTTTTAGGAAATAAAGTTTACTAGTGAACTGGGTTATTGGTTCATTGTACCTGGAATATTAAAACTCATACCTGGATTATTTTGAAACCAACTCTCGAGTTTATCTTGGTGCTTTCTTACCCTGTTTTATTTTATTATCTGCTTATAAATCTTGACTACTTTGTACCTCCTGTTATTTGGTATAAATTGTGAAAACTGCTTGCATTTCAGGCTCAGGGCAGAAGAACCAGTGTAGTTGGTTCCTTTCCAGCCTTTTACAACCTCCTTTAATAAATGTTTTCAAGAAGCAGAAAAATCAAGATACCATTAATCTGTTATCACTAACTTCTGACAATTTTCTGTGGAAGAGTTTTGAACGTGTACTTGGCAACGTTTACTTTCAGACGTACTAACAAATCTCTGATATTTGTCCTTTCTCACGTCCTTACCCATATTATGCCTTTTTCCGAATACAGTTTATTCTGTGTTTATTTACCTTATAAACAAACCCTACTTCAATAGTAAGTGACATGATTGGGGAAGAAAATAGGAGAGGAGATACTTAAATACATTAAGGCAGTTTTTAAAGTTAAATTTGGAGACTGTAATGCATGTTTATTATGTGAAAAAGATTG